TAGGTATTTATGTATAAAACCAAATTTTAAAATCCACCAATAACATTTTTGTGGTAGGTAGGTATTGCTTCAAAACATTTTTTTAAGTTTATAATATGCGTACAAGTTTGAGTATAAATAACGTGAGAAATTCCACGAAAAAAAATGGTGAACAAACAAAAGGACGCATTACATTCCTTCGGGCATTAAATCTAGATTGTGACACCCTCGCCCCCAACAATTACCTCGTCCTAAAGGGATGCATTGTATTGTGTTAATTTGGGCAGGGTTCGAGGTGTAAATTTTCTACATCTCACTGAATACGCTTTATGAAGCTAGTAAAACCGTGCGTTTTTAGTCATAAAATGTTTTCAGCTAAACGCCTTTTTTATTACTAGCATAAACTAGCCCAAAATTGTCTCGTTAATTAATCTGAAATTTATGGCGAAAACGTTCGTGGTTCAATGTTTTTGTCGATGACCACCCGAAATAGTTTCGCAATGTAAGTTGACGAGAAGATGCACGGAATTCCGATTCGCGTATTTGCTCTACTGCAGTAAAAGGCTATAAAACACGTAATAAAGTTGTAAAAGAGCAAGTCTATGATGTTTTCTTTAGAGGTAGAGCTTTTCATAATGTTTCCCATTTTCGTTTCTTATACTTCACCCCCATCAATTTAAACGAACGTTCTCCAAAATAACTAGGTAAAAGTAGAGATTATTGCGGACAGTGTCTCTTGGACCCAACTGAATTAAGTTATTCAAATTAAGATGAACGGTCCTTGGCAACTAAAAACGTAGTTGTATTCATCAGCGAAAATTGAAAACAGACACACACAGACCTGTGGACGGTAGAGAAAAAGTTTTTCACGAAGTAAAATTACTTCGGGACAAGTTAAGTAAAGCGTTGGATATTTTAGAAATTAAGTACAACTTTTCTAATATTCTTTTAGCTTCAATTGAGCACCACGTAACTTCGAAAACAAAAGTAATTACAAAGGTCAAGAAAATAGAAAGTGCAGAGTTCATAAAATTAGGTGACGCCGCTACAAACAATTATAATTTATAACGGCGATCAGTATTCATTGTCACCTTTGGTCCAAGTTGTCAAACTTTAAAATCAACAATTATACTTAATCTATGTGGCCTCCTTTGCTGAGAGTACTGCTGGGGGGTTTTCCATACCCCGAGAACCACGGTGCTACGTTCTTCCACAAAAATGTCTAATGTTTCGGACTCGTACGATAATTTGCGAGAATTTTGTGTGGAGACACGTTGGACTAAATGTATTAGGATCAATGTTAGTGGTAACATCGGGCATTATCCTAGGGAAGGATTAGCTAATTTCATCTAAAAATGTTGATCTATTGTTTTAAAAAGTGTGCACATCGTGGTGTAATTGATTCATTTATTTAATAAATATAATCCATTTTTAATAATTAGATACGCTGTATTAATTACTATACATGCAAATAAAACATATACAGCGCGTTCGAGATAAGGGTGCCGCCTCAATATCTCTCTTATTTGACGAGATACAAAAAATTTGTCAAATATAATTTTATATGTGACCTATCCGATCGCATATTGAAACATCCGGCATCACTTTCAGTTTAACCGGAAATCGATGCAACTTTTGTCTTTCAAACACAACAGATAACGCGCATCTTGACAGCACAGAATGTTAGATTTTATAAGTTTTCTAAATATTGAATCGCGAATTTCTCCAATTTGTTGTATATCACATTGGTTGATCTTTTCAAATATCTTAAAAAAACATAGGCATTTCAGGTGAAAAACAAAAGTTGTCCCGAATTCCGGTTAAACCGGATTGATGTTTCAATGTGCGATCGGATCGTAACGTCACATATAACCCTCTTATCTTGAACGCACTGTATATTAACGATAAGACCAACTTCTGAACTTCTGAGATAAGTTATTATAAATTAGCCCTTTTCCATAATCTTTGAAGAATAAAGAAACCAATTTCATGAGAAACAACATTGACCGTTCCCCAAAAAAATTACTATAAATATGCAAATTTTCTGGGCACTCGTATTAACTTAACATTCGGAATATCAAAATGTTCAACTTGAGTACACCGAGTGGCTTTAAACTATACGTTCTTGTTAAAAGTACACATTTAAATATGGAAGCATTTTCTCGAATATTTCGACCTGGACAAATTTATGCTAAAGACGTAGGCGACAACGCTTAAATTTGTTTTATAACAATAAAATTATACGCTGTCATTGAAACGACGTTTTCTTTTTCGAAATTGCTTTTGTAACCTTCTTCTCGAACTCACCTTAGGCGTAATTCTATTAATCTCGCCGCCTTAATACATTTTGTACACTGTTCCCAACGTCCGTTAGGAGACGACTGAATTTTTAATGGTGAGCTCTCAGCACTTTACGCCAGAAAGAAAGACATGGAATAAATTTCAGCCTATTTCCTAGGGATCTTTCATGCAAGCTTTGAATAAATAGGAAAACGTGAGATTTTACATGTGTTTCCACTTCTTTCTCGCATTTAATCGATTTTTCTTGAAAATGGATTGTATGCTTTATTTGTTTTAACAGACATTGTAATTAAATTGTTGTTACTTAGAGTCGAATTTCGTCAAACATGAGTAAACTATTAAACTAGATAATGGTGAATAGGTGAGGTGAATGAAACCATTTTATTAAGTTAACATTGCTTTGGACACGCCTCTAACGTAACAAGTAAAATAAATTTAAAGAATCTGGCGGAATTTACAACTACAGTACCAATGCACTGAAATTGGATTGTAAAAATCTCAAAGCCTTATCGTGACCGAAATTCGAAAATAGAACAAAAAAAGTCCCAAAAATCTCTTTAATTTTGCCAAACGGGCTCAGATATATACGGCTCATGTCGTATTTACTGATTTAATGTACTTAGTGCAGGGAACAGACTTATTTGAACTTGCAAAATGAGAAGTAGTTCCAATTTTTGACCACCAGGTCATCCTCCGTGACGAAAAAAATTGTATTTACTTCTCTTTTTGCAGGAAATGTCCATCTTCAGTCTCTATTTCCCGGACTGACATGGACATCTAAGAGGACCCACCCTTAATAACTGAAGAAGGAAGCATAATATGCTCTTCAGTAAAATGGCACTACCTACTTCAGTTTAGGTTAACCGATTTTCACATAATTGGTCTTGTTAGAAAGACCTCTTTTCGTGTTTTGCATCAATATAGAGGGTTATACAAGATACAGGATCAACTTCATGCAGCTCTAAAAACAAAATATGCAGTAAATTATTACGATTCAATTCAAATATGTGACAACTGGGGGAACCTTTAAACATTCATTCATAGTCAGTCGATGGCTTGATTAATTGCAACCAATTTCTAAAAACCTCAGACTCCATTTTTGGGAAACGATGTCTTTTTACAAATCTGTTAAATTTGTCACGCAACATTTACGTCTCAGCTTGCATGCTGGTAATTAACTGTATACATAATTGTACTTCATAATGAATCGGAAATATGTATCAAAATCAAAATTAAAAATTCAACTTTCATAATGACACTGACATAATCCACACGCAGACACGCACGCAAACTGTGCGTCATCTATTGAATGTTCTCCAAACTTACGAATTGTATTTATACTCAGTTGTTCCCCTTTAGCATCGTCTAGTTTGTTCGGGGGCCTATGTATCGAAAATAATGGCAGACGTTTTGAACATATACGTTCCTCTACCAATCATCACATTGTACAACTGAAGAAGAAAGTGGAGTTTTCTGAAACTACAATCAAAATTGAAAAATTATCGTATGCAATAATGAAGTTTCACACATAGCAATCAAGATACGGGTATATTTCAATTTTAAATGTATTAAGACTAACGCAGCAATTGTTTTTACTTTCCTCACTAGAGAGGAAAATCACATTTTCAACGCCCTTTTTAGAGACGAAAGTAGTTTCAGAAAACAAATATTACTGCCCCAAATTTTAAAAAATGCATACAATTGCATATGTCACTTGCTCAATTAAATCAGGACATCAGGACATCAGGACAAAAATAGCTAAAATTTCCTAAAAAATATCTTATATGCATGTACCTATATTAATTATTGATTTACTCACAAAGGAAGGAAGTTTCTATTCCGGGAAATTTTTACAGTGACATCTCCATATAAACACGAATCTAAACTGAAGTACCTATATAGTTTTCGACTGACTAATACAAAACACCAGAAATTAACAATGGGAAAGTTACCAACTACTTAAAGGAGTTTTAAAAAAAGACACAACAAAAAATATTTCGACACAACCCCACACTGATTCCTTGTCTTTCAATAGAAAAAATGGTATTAAAAAAAATTCCATAAACCAATCACTACAAGAAGACAAATTCACATGTAAAATTTGCGAGAATTATTATGCTACATTGTAAGCCTCGCTATTCTCTTGAATTTAAGATGTAATATTTAACATATTTAAATCTACCTCCCCCACAAAAATAACTTTTGAATTGACATTCTCAGATTTACATCATTTTCGGATTCATTTCATCATTTCAATTTGACTTCGCAACCCCAAACTATATGTATATTATTATTCTGTCATTCGTGATTCTGCATGCAAGACAAAGCTTTACAGATTATCCTAAACACCGTTTTTCCGGCGTGTCCATTTTTCTTTCGCATTAAATGTGTTAACTTTATACCCCATCAGTTGCGAGAATAGGCCGAATCGCGTGCTGAAAAGCTTTCTGTTAAGTTTGAATTGATAATTAGTGTTTAAAATGACGCGAGGTTTATTTAAGTGGATAGAATTTGAAGAACTTTTCGCCAAAATGTACAGTCGGTTATTAATCTTATTTTTAAAGGTTTTATGTAATTTCCTGTTCGATTTAAACTCGTGAAAAGATCAATTTCCGCAAATTTCCTTTGGGAAAAGAGTATCAGAAATATCACCGGGTATATAAAAGTAACCACCTGTTACGAGAGACATACATAGATATATTATTCGTAAATTAATTTACCTTGGGAGTTAAATGAGTTTTGTTTTGACGTTGGTGTCATTGGAATGAAGACCTGTTGTTTAAACTTTAATGAGTTTTTGTCTGTCCGTTTATATTTAATTACTTTCACATTATTTGACTTGGTCCAGAAAATTACGTAAGAACGTAGAGCGCAACTAAGGCCAGCACCGAGCGTTTGCAACGACCAACAGGTACGGTAACACTGAACATTAGATCGTCGCGACGCTTTGCATCTCGGCGATTGGAACGCGTCGACTCTATTGGATGAGCATTAATATGTAATCAACAAAAAAAAACTGTTAATGATTTCAAAGGCGCATGTACCTACTGGCTATGATTTTGAAAATATGGAGTTGCCCGAGCCTGATCTCATTTCAAAGTTTCATTGGGAGAAGTGCAATAAAATTGCCCAGGTGAGGATCAATTCACTCAAATCCGTCAGTTAGTGTTAGTGTATAACGTAAAATTTTACTTACGATCTTTAGCTGACTTTGTTGCACCTTTCGAAATAAAACTTTTACTGAAAAACCAATCCGAGCTTTCAAGCTGTTGAACGAGCCCCATTGGACTATGCTTCAAAGGCAACAAAAAACGTTAAACTGCACAAAATAAGGGAGAAACCTATCACGGATTAGCTACAGTCCTGATCGTCTCAGTGAAGTACTCACATAAGTTACAAGCACCCTCGCTTGCTCAACGTTTGACATGTGACTTTGGCAAAATGTGTTCATTATAAAAGCGAGTAATCATTGAAATGAATGTTAAGATAAAAATAGGGCTCATTTAAATATATACCTTTGTGTGTCAGTTTTTTACGTTTATACCATAAAATGCTTTGCAAGTTTTATTACACTTGTTTGTAACGTTACTTTTTTATAATGCAGAGTGGCAGTCACGCAATTTAGATAAAAAGTGCCCTTTTTAAAACGCAATTGTAAAATTGCTATTTTCATAACACAACACAACCTAAATTAAGGTATAATATAATATCTTTTTTGTAAGTCAAAGTCACATTAAAAAGAATAAAACTTATACTGTTGTACGAGTTCTTTTTGCAAATTTGATCAATTTTCAATGTTTTAATGACAACCATAGTTTGGGTGTTGGTATCATTATTAAATTAAGGAGATAGATTGCTATAAAAATAATTAATCTTCGGGATCTTTTTATGGTAACCTACGATTTTGCTTCTGATTATTTTGATCGCGCAATTTTTCAGTTAAGAAGATATCGTATGGAAATTCATTCATGCAGTAAATTGTCGCTCCAACAGCCAAAGTCTTATATTTCACCTACCAATAACTGGGATTGGCAGAAAAATTACACTTGTTTAGTCGCCTCTTACGACACGCAGAACCCTCTGTGGTTGGGTAATTTTTCCCGTCTTTACGCGGGTTGAAATGTCCGACCGCAAGAATAATGAAGTAAAAAGGTTTTCCTCCCTAAGGAGTAACTTCAGCGCATTTTCCATACGTTGATCAATACTTCCCAAAAAGACATAGCTAATGTGCGCTATGCTTTTCATTACTAGAGGCGTCTATGGTTAAAATTTCAAGGAAATATCTCCATTAATAAAAAAGTTGACGTTGTGCAGTTCGCGCATACGCAAATTTAATTGTGCTATACAGGGTGTCTTATTAAATTGGTAAAGTTGTGTAGTTTTTGATGCTGATGGATATTCCGATGTAATATTTTGAAAAAAATAATTCGTTTCGTAGATAATTGGAAACAAGTGAAAATACCAATTTTAAAAAAAATTCAAATATTTTAGTAACAAAGAGAGCTATCGAAAAAAGTTTCAAATATTGGATGTTTATGTCACTCGATAGACAAAAAATTCCAAAACCAGTGATACCTACTAAACAGTTAGTATTTCATTTGGGAATCAATCTTGCATTTTTGCTTTGAAGTTTACAATGTATTTCTTATGGCAATAATTCTATGTGAAATATCTTCGTAAATAAGGACGTTCGCGCATCTAATGTTTACAATATGAAATATGTTTGCCTTAACCAGAAGCATCTGTGATTAAAATTACAAAAAGATATCTTGATAAATAAGACATCAGTTGATATTGCGCATCTTGAACATGCGCACATTAATTTCATGTTTACAATATGCGATACGTTTACTTTTACTAAAAGCATCTTTGGTTAAACGGACGGACAGAGAAAGTGGCTATAATAGCGCACCAAACTTCTTTGGAAAATGCCCTAAAAATCTAATGCATTTTTGATTTTCGTTCAACCTGTACCGCTAGTATAGCGACGACCACTATAATTTGAAACGGCACGAAGACCTCTCATCAGTGAAGTGCGAATGTGCAGTCAGTGTCAATCCTGTAAAAAATGAGAGAGGACTCGCTGTCACTCCGAATTGCTTTTTTTCTTAAGCTGTTGCAATATCTTCACCGATTGTAACCTTAAGACCAATAAATGAGTGAGGTGTCAAGATGTGCGAAAGTAAACCTTGAATTTCAAACCTCATTTTTAAAAATCGTAGATGAGGATGACGTGATTGAGGTGAAAAGTAGTCAAATAAGCATGGCGAAGAAGTATGAAGTAGGTTGTAGGAAGCATGAGCAAGATTTGAGGGAGGCGTAAAGAAAATATGAGTTAAAAAGGGGACGAATAAGACGGGAAGGAGGCGGTGTAGGTGTGGAAGAGGACATGAAGAATAAGACTGCTTTACTTCACAAGCACAAAGTAAGTAGGTAATTGGCTTCCAGGTCCAAGTACACCAACTTAAAATAGCCTCGTAACAAAAATGCCTTTCTTCCAAAGCGACAAAGCTGAATGTCTTTAAATTTACAGCAATTAATAGGATTTTTCGAGAGTTTTTACTTGCCCAAAGGTACGTATTTGGAATTTTTTGCAGATAAAATGAGTATACAGAAAACAAATAAAAATCAGCGTAAAATATGCCTCTTAGATGACCACAAGTTTAATAAAAACCTCGAAAAAGCGCCACTCTGTATTGATCTTTTGCTAAGTAATTGATTGTGTAAAATAAAAATGAATTGTTTGGTATAATAATTGATAACTGAGGTTTAATTATCACCCCCAAACAAAAAGGGTGCAGTAAATAATTGATTTCAGGTCAAATATAAACGAAACATCACGTAAACTGTAAAGTTTCGACTGATGGGGTGGGATTAGGTACATTTGTAGGAGTAGTACATACATTGAATGACTCATTAGCGAGGATCATTTTGAAATACTACTGGTGTGCCATTTATTGATTGATGCTACTTTGTGTAGGTACAAATGAAGGTTTTTAACACAATTAAATGTAAAAACAACCAGTTGCAGATCAAAGCTCGTTTTTTATCAATCACCTACTATATTCATTAGTATGCTCAATTTTTGCCCACACGCGCCACTGGTATACTTTGAACGTTTGCATTAGGCATTATGACCAAAGCTTACAATAAACAGAACTAAAAGATTCTAAAACATAGCCATTGTATGAAATGTGTTCGTAAAATTTTTTCTCAAATTTCAATGCATTTTGCGTCATACAGGCATACACTCGTTAGCTTCTCAAGATGCGTAATAACACGTTCGAAAACGTTGTGCTCAAGCTATATTCTTTTTAAGTATATTTTTCGTACTTTTCTGGAACGAATAAACGACAATTTCGAGCATTTCCGCACAACTAAACACCTTGCCAATAAGAAAAAAGGTCACGGATCACAAGGAACAAAGTTTAAAAAATTGTTCAAGTTAAAAAAGAAGCAATAATTCGTCCTCTTTGTGTAACAGACAATAACAGTAGAATAATAAAAATAGTTCAATTAAGCAATCGTAAACAAATTAGAAAACGAGAGGTACATAGATACACTGCAATCAGAAGGTAAGAAAAGCGCCTCTAAAATGATGTCACTAGCACCCACGTTTACCTAAAAAAAAAGCGACCAGCTTTGAAAATTATTATTAACGAATAAATTGTACATATATATCTAAGAACGTTATTAGCGTTTTTTATAAGATGATACATATAGATTTATGACAAATTAAGAATTCTACCCAAGCACCCCTTACTGTTTCGCTCGTGTACGCTACGTTTACCTAAAAGAAACGACCAACTCTGATAATTATTTTTAATGAAATTGTGCATAAATGAAAGTGCTTCGTTAGACTTGTTTAAGGGATCATGCTTGTATTTATTATACCTAGGAATATTTAACCAGTTTCTACCTAAAAACACCCAAAATTATTTTTACTACCCTACGTTTACTTAAAAAAAGCTTGGAGAGTTATTTTTAATGAAACTTTGCGTAAATGAAACAACTTTATTAGCGTTCTTTAAGGGGCGATGCATGTGGATTTATTGTAAATAAGAATATTTAAACAGTTTCTATCTAAGCACTCAAAACAAAATTATCTCGCTTGTGCCCATTACGATGACCCAGGAAGGACTCGCTTTGAAAATTATGTTTAATGAAACCGTGCATTATATCAAAGAACTTAATTATGGCGTTGTGCTACATTTAGATTTATTATAAATAAGAATATTTTAAACAGTGTCTACCTAAGCATCCCCCGAAATGTTTTTGTTCGTATCCATTAAGTTTACCTTTAATTACTAAAAGGATCTTCAGATCCTTTATAGTTGTGCATGTTTGTCCGTCCGTGGTCCATTTAAGATTCTCTTTAAAAAATCTCTCGTAAAATCTCAACGCATTATAATGAATATATGCTTTAAAAACCCCCATATAGATTCGTTCTTTATTCCCTTACGTATACAACTTGGTTTTGAAGAAATTTGTGTTAAAGAGCCCCACGCCGACAATTTCTTAAGAGTTCTATCTCAGATTTTAGTAGTTCATAAATTTTATTATGCTTTCTCATTCAGTTTTTCTCCGTATACTCAGTTACGATCTTTTTGTGGAAATGTGTCAGAATATTTGCGCATTTCCACGAAAGCCAAATGCTACTACATTAATTTGTACCAATAAGAACATGCGATTAATGCAATAACACGAATTAATCGTATAGAGTCGCTAATATATTCAGAAATACGTTGTTGATTGATTTCCTTTTAATACTTTGAGCAAGCAACAGCAATAACTACCGCTTACTTAAAGCATTTAAGCAAGATCACGTGTCAGAGTCTGTACCCAATCACCGAAGGTGATGAAAAATATACACCGAATAAAAGAGGTATCAGTTGCTGCTAACAGCAACATGTTTGCGGTAAATAAAACAACAAGAAAAATTGTTTAAGAATCCATATCTTAATTTCTTCCTGCCGTTGCTAATTTATCCTTTTTTATTATTTCTCCAAGATCCATTCCAATTTCCAGGTATTCTTTTCCGCACTCCACAATTGCAGTTAGTGTTGCTAAAATCCATTTTACAATGCGCAGACGTACTCTGAAAATACTGCTTTATTCCGCTAAAAAATTACAGTTACATTTTATCGTCCTTATATCTTCAAGGAAGCATGCCCTAATGACCTACTGTTAATAAATCAACTATCAGCGGCATTCGGCACGTATCGCTGCAAATATTTAACACACTTCACGTTATACCATGAAATATGAAAATAAATAAAAATACAACTGCCATAATCAATTGTAATTGCTAAACGTACGTATACCTTGGTTTACCCTCACTAATTATTTCATTTATTTTGTAGCTAGTTTTCAGCAGTTCCTCCTTTTTTAGTCGTTCTTCGCGTAGCAGCGCCAATCCGCGTTTGACGACGGTGTTGTAACGTTTAGAAAGTGACGCCTCGGTACCCTTAACTCTCGGTATATGTCCCGTATATCCGGCGATCGGGGGATGATCGGGTGATATTTCCCTTCCTGAAAACAAAGAAGCTGCACAGCTTTAAGTTGAACTTTACACTCACCGTTAAATTTACCCAGAGTCTCGTAGTTAGTTAAACTTCGAGTGACTTCGTCTCTATTACGGATCGAAACCATCCGGGGCGCGCTTTGGGTGCGGAAAAGGCTCTGCATCTCTGCACGTTTTTCACGGAGACGACTCTGACTATCTGTAAAATCCGCCATGCTGTCATCTGCAGTTCGCCCGAAAGATTTTCCATAGCGGAAGTTGAGAGTGGGAATGAAACCTAAACTTGATTGATGCTAGTTCAATTTTCGATCCACTTTCCCTCACCTGTGTAGCCTAAAATGTACTTTGGGGAACGGTTGAGAGGGTCTAAAGCGTAATCTTTCGCTTGATCTTTGGCACGGGAAATTGGTACTAATGCAATTTTTCGGGCATCGTCCTCGCGGTAGCGATGCCGCTGGACCTCGTTGAAGATCTCTTTGTCGCGAAGATCCTGGAAAAATGATGATAATGTTTTCCTCAATATCATCCACTTACGTGCAAGATTTCCTTGGTCTCCGTCCCGTAGGGTTTGCCATACTGGAATCGTAAGGTCGGGCAATGGCCGGTGTATCTATAAAGATATACCATGTGTTAGAAGTTAGGTTACTACTCGTATTGTGTCCTACCGGATTAAAACTGTTTTTTTAACAACTACAATAATTCAACAAGGGACTTAATCTGTAAAAAGTAGGAGATTGTAACGGGATCCCGCCAAAGCGTCCACGATCTTTTTGCTATCCGAACTGAAGCAAATTTTGGGGATTGAACAGTGGAAAGTGGATATTTTTGTGGAAATCTTCGTGGCACGAGGAAAAATCTAAAAAGCTCTAGAGAAAACTTAAAAATTAGGAATTTCTTAGAATGCTGAGGCTGAGAGTGCTGTGAAATCTCCAAAAAGTTCTTTCTAGTGATATTCAGCGCTTTTTCAGAATATTCTAGCGTTATTCCGAAACGTTGTGAGCCCTTTGCAAATTCCCGCGTTTTTTTAGACGCCCTTCAGAAACTTTATAATTCATTCTGAACCTTCCAAAGTACTCAGTTCTTTCTAAAGCCTTTTAAGTCGCCGTAGGTACTTTCTGAAACTTACCACGCACTCTTATCATTGAACATCATAGGACTAAAAAGTACCTACTGGAAAAGGTCTAATGGAAAGCACTTACTCCTAGCTCGTGAGCGCTACAAAACTCTTAAGAGCCTAAAACACTTTGTACATCAGTCGATAACTTAGGCGCTCTCCGCTCGGGAAATCTAGCGTGTTTCCTGAAAAACGAGAATAAAGGCCTGAGAGAGAAAGCTCTGGAAAGCACCTTCAAGAGAATTGTATAACCTTTCGAGAGTTTTCGAGTTGCACATTGAAATTAAAAAACTCATATTGCAATAAATAAATAAATAAATTCCAAACAGAAATTCACAGGCTTTCTTCATTTGATCATTGAATTCGGAAAATGGAAATGCTGATCAATTTCTTTGCTCCTCCGCATGGGCGAGGGCGATGTAAATCGAGTATTACCTTTGAACACAAAATTTATATTCAAAGGTGCGCTACTGAGCTCTTTTGCCTAGCTATTTGTAAGTTACTAATAAATGTTATTGTTGATTTAGTGTAATTATTGGGTTATATTAATTGAAAATAGTATAAAATGAAGTGTTCACACGATAGGAGATTTAATATGGGCCACAAACTATAAGAAACTTTTTCCGAAAATAGGTACATTATGCTTTTACCCTCATTTCTAAATTTAATGTTCTTACGTCACTTACTAGCAAACGCACCCCAAACTCATTAAGTAGGTGTTAGGTTAAACCTGGTACGAAATTATCTGTCACTCTTTTGCACATATCCATTACTTCGCTAGATTTAAACATTTTTAAGTTAATTCACAGTCACGCAAGCGAGACTGGCATGATTAATTCAATTCGTATAGTAATAGCTGCTGGTTTGTATACAGATTTTTTTCAAAGAGATTTAGCCTTGTTGTTCCTGAGGACGATGCATCAGTCTGTAACCAATTGATTGCGAACAGTTTTCGGCCAGAGAGAAAACAACGGAATCGGCAAGGAAATTTAACAATTAATGTATAGGCAAGTAGAGCAGGTTTGATTCGCATGATTTCGCTTTAATGAACACAACAGTAATTTGTTTAAAGATGAAACAATACAAACTACGAACGTTTGTTTGGTGAGAAATTGGCACACTCTGACACTAGTTCTCACTCATTAAACTTTTATATTTGAAATGTAAAAGAAATTCTAAGCGGGAATTCAATCAGTTTCGTTATAATTAGCCATAACTAATATATTAATGAAATACTCGTGGAATTTCGAACTATTGATTTACTTTAGCTAGAAACGTATAGGTAAAATAAGACATAGTGACGGGCAAATAAACAAATTATGTAATCGCGACCGTGAATTTGTTACTACTCGTATGGAAAATATTTCAAAAATCATACCCTGGTATAAAATTGTCCGAGCTGTTCGTCCAAAAGTTGTATCTTTCCTTTTCAGTGATCGGCTGAAACATATTCTAAGTTACACAACGCATCGATCACACAATATCGCCTCACTATGAAAACCATTTAACTGCTTGTTTTCCCTCGAACAATAATATGAAAAGTCTTTAGAAGCGCGCATCAGGAAATATCAAACAATAGGTAGAGTAGGTAACAAGTAATTGTGCGCTTCTGCGCGACATTGCCGAATGGTTCACCTAATTTTGTTTAAATAATTTTAACGGAGGAAGTGGGATGCTGTTTTTATTCTCATTTACCGCTTCTATCTATTGCGTGACTATAGGTAATCGTAAACTTTTTGTTTTTGTATTTTTTTATGCATGTAATTATATTTACTGATGATTATGTGTAGGTAAGTGTTTATAGAACCGAGTTACGATCTTAATGGAAAATTGTCTAGGTTTTTAATTAATTGAAATGTTTTTATGTTGTATTTGCAATATAAGATAATAGTGATAGTTGTAATGGGGAAATCTGAGATCCTATGATAGTGAATGTATTAAAAGTTTTAATGGAATATTTAATTTTAAACGTAAAACGGACTGACTAACCCATTAATGTATGGTAAGATGCAGAGTAAAGATGGTTAAGAAATCAATTTTAAATCAGAGGTTCTGTATCTATCTGCATAGGTAAGTGAGTGCATGTAGTCTTTGGTCAGATGTAATAGGGGTAGAAAATCTAAACCTTAAACACGGTGTGGATTAACCGATTAAAGGATTAAAAGGCATAATAAGAGTAGTTACGACGAGTCAATTAAAGGGTTGATGAGTTGATTGATAAACTCGTAAAATTTTCTAGGCGTAATAGAAACAGATCAATGCATAAGTACGTAAAATAGGAGTTGTAGTGGTGGAAATTCGCCATAATTACATTTAAGAATGTATTATGGGTATACCTATGTAGATGTAATGAGAAAACTAATTCCAAACTTCTAGATTTCTTGATAAGAAAGTGATAACCACATCATGACATTTTGTGTAGGGTTGCATTTGAAGAATTAATTGTAGAGCTGAGAATCGAAGTGAATAATAAAATAATGTACAACAAGGAGTGAATTAAACCATCAATTCGGTAATGAGTATAACACATAAATCGATTCCGTCCGGACAAGTGTGCTTCAAGCTTATAAGGGTGGATGGTATGGACAAATTTTAGACGCCTTGATATTACCTGATAAACGCATCTGTAAAGCTTCCCCGGGGTGGTTTCAGTCAAAGAATTACATACTTTTGTGATCATTTTTCAAGGAGGACCGTAACAGGGAATTGGGAAGATATGAAATACTTGTGAGGAAAAGAAGCTCTTCCTGAAAAATAATGACAAAAGTACTAAGGGTTTAACATCGGGAAGAGAGTTTAGACCGGGGGTCTGGGAGGTACATTGGTAAACCTTTAGTACCTTTGTGATCATTTTTCAAAGAGGGACATCGATTTTAATTGTTTTTTAAAAGTTTTGAAACAATTCACAGAATTTAGCTGGAGGGGGGGGGGGCATTCCATACCCTCCACACGGCTCAATCTTAAACTCTCTCCCAAAATTATAAGCCATTAGTACCTTTGTGATTATATTTGTGGGTATTCCATACTTCCCATCCACACACAGTACTCCCCAGACGGTCAGACCCCCCGGTTTTATACTCTCCCCCACATTGATAAACATTTAGCACGTAATTTTAAACTTGAAATTGTGTGGTAACCAGTAAATTATCTAATGTATAAGAAGATATAATGGGATTTGTTACACCAGGTTTTTAACATAATCGTCAAATGCTTAAAGAATTAATTTCATACTTTCAGCGGTAAATAATAGATTAATGTATAAGACACTTATAATAGGACTTGTTGTGCAAGGAAATTAAATCCAATCGTGAAATTCTACGGTGATTAACCCATAAACTCATTTCCAAATGCTTTAGGGGTGAATATAACGAAGAAATCAATTTCCAACTTTGACATCCCTTGATAATTAACTGACAAACGCATTGGAAAAGAGTTTTTGCACTTCTAAATGCAAGTTCTTTATAAATTATGAAGGAATAATTTACCCACTTAAAATTCGGTGGTAAATAACAGATTAATGTATAAGGTATAATAAGACTTATGGTAGGAAATTAAATCCACTCATGAAATTCGGTTGTAATTATTCCCTTAACGCATTTTAAAGTGAATTAGGGGTAAATGTGACGAGGAAATTGATTTCAAACCTTGACATTCCTTAATAATTAATTGATTAAGGCATTATAAATCCAGATAAATCTGGCATTAGATATTGTGCATTCTTTGGAATACGAATTCAATATTCCAAATGTCATTTGTTTTTCCTGCGTAGGTAAGTCATATTCAATTTTCTTTACATTAAATAGTTAAATAAATGGATTGTTCTACTGTATAACTGAAAGAGCATTTGGCAATATTGTCATAGTTGTCTACGACTCGCGTTTAAAATCGGTAAAATCAAAAGTGATCTTACGGATCTTAAGGAATTTCTTAATTGCCTCTTTGAAACAAAGAAATGCCGAAATCGAATTTTGAAAAATTTCCGAACGTAGGTACACGTAGCTCCTATGCAAATGCAATCGTGGAGCCTTACTGAGTGTATGCAAATCTGATATAATTACAATAAGAAAGAATTTTATACCTAGATACGAACATTCGGAGACTGTTGTGAACAAAAACCGTGTCAAATGACTATGTTTATTTTAAGCTTATTTACATCCTGTATATTATCCTTTTTGTAATTTTAGTCTTACATAGTCAGATAGTCACTCTAAAAGAAGAATGAAAAAATTGAAAAATGGTATGCCATTCTCCTACAGGTTTCAGCGAAGAATCGAAACCTGTTTAGTGGTATTCAATTCAAGTTTCACTACAAGTTATGATTGCATCTGAATGCAATTTTTTGGTAATAGGTATACTTTTCTGAATTAAATGAATCAATAATGCAAGTATGGATGTGAGATCTGTAATTAGGAAAATAGGTAGATGACAAGACATTAATAATTAGGACGAGCGGGTTTTTTTTGTTAAATAATTCCCAGTACAGTATAATTATCGCATTTCCTCTTTTTGTGCATCCTGACAGGGCGGGACTGATCATATTTGAGAGTTGAAACTTCGAGCTGATAGGGTATTTCAAAGACATGTCAATGCATTACTTATACTGGGACTGAAAGGTGCGTTTGAGCTTAAAATGTGAATAAATTCATCACATCTGACGTTATTGGACACTCATTTTAAATTTTCGAACTTATTCACACAAAAGTATCACTTACCTGTTACCTTCCCATTCCTCGACTGGATTACTCAATTGCTCCCCATACCATTCCAATAATCTAAAAGGAGAAATGTGCATTACCCTACGGTCAATACAGAATATTTTCAACAAAAAAAAGTTAATACTCGCCGATCTTCCCGTTCATTTGGTTGTTTTTTCTCATTTTTCCATATTGCTTTATATGACATTCCATTAATCTAAACAGAGAAAAGAATGTTTTATATTTACTTGACAGTTTTTAAAAAACTATTTAACACAAAAGATTTACCGATATTTCTCCAGTTGGCTGCATTTCTCTATTGCTTCATACGACATTTCGTTAATCTAACAGGAGAACTGTGCATTAATTTACATTCAATTGACAATTTCTTAAAAAAATATAATATAAGACACTCACCGATATTTTCATTCACTTGATTAAATTTTTCAATTGTTTTATTTGCCACTCCATTCATCTAAAAAGAAAATGTGCATCACTTTCTACTCAATAAATTTTTTTAAATCACTAATACCAAAGACTCACAGATATTTTCGTTTACTACTTGGCTGCATTTTTCCAATATGCCATTCCATTACTATAAATAAAACAAATGTGCCTTACTTTACTGTCAATAAAGAATTTTATTTTATAGCAGATGTTAAATTGACATTTTAATAGGTATAAATTAGTAGGCTAAGCTAAGTCGCTCTTTAACCGTGAGGATAGATAAAGTGAGCACGAACCACATGCTAATGGCCTCTGTCATTCTTATTTCAAATGGAACACGAAGCACGATATAACATGACGTTCAGGACATATGACAATACTGTTTCTATGGAAACGATTGCGACGCGACGCTTGCCATTTTGACGTATAAATTAAAAATGGTTAAAATATCCCTTTATTGTCTTATATAAAAAATAGCTATTCTTAAATCACTAATACCGGAGACTCCCCGAAATTTTCATTCACTTGGTAGCGTTTCGCCATTACTTTATATGCCATTTCATTAAACTAAAAGAAAAACGTGCGGTACACACAATAAACAATTTTTACTCCACCCACCGCTATTTTCATTCGCTTCATTACATTTTTCCATTTTTTATTTGCCATTCCATTCATCTAAAAAGAAAAATGTGCATGTACATTCAATAAACAATTTTTTTTAAATCATTAATACCAAAGACTCACAGGTATTCTCTAGAGTACCTATTCTCGTTCACTTTGGTTGCATTTTTCCATATTGCTTTATATGACATTCCATTAATTTAAACAAAGAAAAATGTGTTGTTTTTACATTTACTTAACAATTTTTGAAAAAACTATTTAACACAAAAGATTTACCGATATTCTTCTTCACTTGGCTGCATTTTTCTATTGCTTCATACGGCATTCCGATAACCTAACAGGAGAAATGTGCATTAACTTACATTCAATTGATAACTCTAAGAAATCAATACCTACTATAAAACACTCACCAATATTTTCGTTTACTTGGATGCATTTATCCATTGATTTATATGCCATTCCATTAATCTAAATAGTAAAATTTGCATTAGTTTACACGTAACAAACAATTTTTGTACTTAAATGATAAATACCGGAGACTCACCCATATTTTCATTCACTTGGTTGCATTTTTCCATTGTTTTATTGGCCATTCCATTCATCATCTAGAAAAAAATTTGCATTACTTTACACTCAATGAACATTTTTTAAAAAATCATTCATACAAAAACTCGCCGATATTTTCGTTTACTCGGTTGTTTTTGCATTGCTTCATATGTCATTCCATTAATGTAGGGGCAATGGGCATTGGCAGCTTTACACAGAATCATTATTATAAAATATAGATGGAAAAGCTTTGATAAAACCATATGATGGAGCAAACAGTTCCACTGAATTTTTTGTAGTATTGCGCAATCTTTATAGTAAGCAAGCTACCACACACCCAAAACAAACCACCACCCATAACAAATCCCTTGCCTTATTGTTTCCTCTTAAAGTTGAGGAAGTAACTAACATCATAATCTTACATTCCATTTTCCAAGAACATACTATAAGCTGGTTTAGAGCTTTTGAGATAGGTAGGTACTTCTATGCCTTTTCCAGAGCTAGACGAACCTAAACAATTACGCTCTGGAAAAAGCTTAAAAGAGACAACCCTACTGCTAGCAGAGCAGTGCTATAGCTAGGAGGGTCGAAAACGATCATAAGATTGGAGAAAGCTCTAGAAATCCACTGAAGGTTTAAAAGAAATGGTCTCGATCTCTACGTCACAAGCCTTATCTTTTGTTTAATGTATCCCAAGTGAATTTCTTATAGCTAAAATTTGTGAAAAACTGTTACACAGAGTCCGTCCCTGCGTTGTATGTTTAACTGCAAACTACTTTCTGGATCGTAGGGGGCAGCGACCACGACCTGACTGCAAACTGTAACTTCAGCTGTTGTATTCAGAGCGGCTCCTTGCACTTAGACTGCAAATGTGAGTGGAATACTTGAAAAACCTACCAAAAAGTGCAATAAAATGGCAGTTAATTTAAATAAGCATCGCGAAACCCTGCTGCAAAGTTGGAAGGACGTTTTGGACGACAAAACCGACACAAACTGGTACTTAAATACGAAAGGAAGGTTATGTTCAATGCTAAAAATCATCTTCTAGGGCCCTTTTCGGCTATGAGGGACAGACAAATGACCTCAAACTTGTAAGTAAAGGTTCTAATGGAATCGAGGAGCTGACAGAAGATTTGAATAGTGGCAAAATTATGTATGCATTCGTTAAAATTAACGATCCCAAAACCTCATTACCCAAATTCGTGCTCATAAACTGGCAGGGCGAGGGGGCGAACACCGTTCGCAAGGGCCTTTGCGCCAATCACTTAAGGGACGTCGAAAACTTTTTCACCGGTGCTCATCTGACCATTAACGCCAGGACCGAGGAGGAGGTGGAACCCGATCTCATTATTACGAAGGTCTCAAAATCGGGCTCCGCGTACAGTTTTAAGGGCCCTCGAAGTGACACATCTGGCCCAACTGCGCCGATCGGTTCGACGTACAAGCGAGTCAATCCGGTTAAGGAGATTAACGCGAGGGAGCGCGATCAATTTTGGCTGAAAGAAGAACAGGAGGAGAAAAAAAGACTGGAAGAGGAGCGCGTACGTAAGGAAGCGGACCGCTTAAAACGCGAGGAGGAGGTAAAACTCAGGGAGCTTAACGAGGCGGCTCAGCGTGAACGCGTTAGTGCACTACGAAACAGCCAAATAGCGCAGGTGAAGGAGGCCGAAAAGGTCGCGTTGGAAAGCGAGAGGAGGCGGTCGATTGAAACTTACATGGAGGAAGCGGAATCGAAAGTGAACCAAAGCGATCTGTTACGTTTGCAGAGGAATAAGGAGGCGCAAGAACTGATCTCCCAACGTACGATTGATGCACGATCGATCTTTGAAAAGAACACGGCAGCTGGGCAGATAAAGCGCATTCCTGAAAAACCTGTTAGGAATTCGTTGCTCAAGGCGCAAGCACAGCAAAGTGATGTTCAAGGCATAAATGATGTTCAGTAAGTATTAATAAAAAATAGTATAGTGAGAGATTGGATTGGACCTTTTTTTGAAGGAAAATTATTGAAGAGAATACTAAACCGATCGAAGAACCAAGTGATGACGAATCTGATCAATTCTCCACAATCAAGCGGTCACCTCGTGACATCGAAAAGAAGTCGGAGTTTCTCTCCGAGCCAGAAATGAATATAAAGAACGGGATCAACGATCAGCTTTACAAGGACAGCATTTACAGCTCGACACACATGCAGCAGATTACTGATCAACAATTTGTCGATGAAGTGATATATCAGGACTTCAGCGATGGTCCTGGTCTTCAGGCCAGAGCTCTATATGATTATCAAGCAGGTTGTCCTTGTAAAATATCTGACTTTCACTAACTTCTGTTTTCAGCCGATGACACTGAAATTACCTTCGATCCTGGTGATATGATCACAAACATCGATCAAGTAGATGAAGGTTGGTGGCAGGGCTTGGGACCTGATGGCACCTACGGCCTGTTTCCCGCAAACTATGTGGAGCTTATACAGTAATTTGATACGCTTATAAATGCTCATTAATCATTGTATTACACTTTCATTTCGAAGAGAGACTATGACTTGTAAGGTGCAATCTGTGCACAATTTTATACGAGATATTGTTGTAGCTTTAAAGTTTAAATTGTTTCTTGGGATTGTTTGAAACAAATTTATTTATTGATTAACAGTATAATTGCATGCACAATATGTGCCAATTTCGTGTATCATTTCATTACCTTGGGCAGTATTTTAGCAAACCGATCTTCATATCCATTTGTTAATGCACGTATTCCTACATTTTCAATACTTTGTGATATACATGTTGTATTAGAAATATAATGCTAAATAAATGTTTATTATCATAGTTGTAGTTAATATCTGTAATAGTTTTCGCGCTTCAAGTAGAAAGACGATAAAATTCAGAAAATTTCTCAACCCCCCCCCCTCCCCCAAATAACGAGGTAGCGAAACGTTTCGGAAACATTTGTAGGAACCTGTTGATGGACGTTGAACCGTCCATGACGGAGGCAGAAGAGACGTTTCCTGGCGCTTATCACTACTGGCCACACCTGTCAGTTTTACCGTCCAGCCAAAGTGGATGTAACTCATTATTAAGGGGTGGTGTCTAAACATTTTTGCGCCATATTAAATTCTAATTTTACGTTGCTGTGTTATTTCACAATTTGTTAGGAATTAATTTTGCAACAAAATATAGAATGAGAGTTACTAAATATATTAATTTATAATAATCTTCCATACTGAATCAAAGGATAAGCAATGGAAGATTCTTCAGAAACTTTTACACGCTCATGAATGCTTTATAGCGCCTTTCCAAAGCATGCTATTGCTCTCATACAGCAAAGTTCTTTCTAGAGCCCTAAACAGACCTGAAATTACCCAGTTTCTAAAATGCTTTTGGAAGGGCTTCGATAAATAGCACAGCATACAGAGACATAAAAACTATGTACTTTATTATTTCTTATTATTTTTATAACTTTTTAAATCCCTTTTCAAAGGTTCTACATCTAAATTCACACTATCTAATGCAGGTAACTTAATCTTGACTAACTCCGAATCAGACAGCTTAGTAATTAACTTCACAAGTGAAGGTTTAGTGACAGTCTCTTTTTTACAGCTCACTTCAGTCTTTTTTGCGGAGTCCTCAAGAACCACTGGCATTTTATCATCGACACTCCGTATTTCTCTATCTAATACAACTTCGTTAGGCTTCGCTTGGTCAGACGAATTTGTTTTATTCCTCTTGCTTTCTTCGACAACGCCTTTAACATCCATTACTGGCTTAATTGTAGTCTTAATCCCCGGCAGTACATCCGGTAGTTTTTGGGGAACTCGTGAGAGAACTAACGGTATCGACATATTTGGCTTCAAAGTCTCATTTTTTTTTTCGACTTCATTTTTGGTGTCTGCTAATTTCAGTCGCTCTATCGCCTTATTGGCAATCAGCTGAATCTCCTCGGCCGCTTTTCTCTTTTCCATCTCTACGTCTTTAATTTTTTCTTCTTTGATTTGTCTTTGTTTTAGTTCTTCGAGAATTTTCTTTGATTCTTCCACGACCTTCTGTTGTACCTCGTTTTGTTTCTCCATTTTCTTAAGAAGGTCTATATTTTTTTCCTCTGCCACTTTCAATTTCTGCTTTTCGTCCTCGAATATTTCCTTCTCCTCTTTTTTGATGGCTTCAATGTCAACTTCTTCAACCTTTTTACTGTTGGTTGTCTTTTTAGGGGGTTTGTCAGGCTCTTTTTCTTTGGCAATCGGTTTCTCATCACTTTTTTTGTCTACCGGTTGCTCATTTTCTTTTATAACTTCTTTTGGTGCTTCTGGTATCTCGTCGACGACAGGTTCTATTGGTTGTGGAGGCTCGTGCCTTATTTCCTCTATAACTTCCTTATTTGCATTTGGTTCGTGGTTACTCTTAGGGGATAAATTCTCATCTAAGACTTGAACATTAGGTATCTTATCAAGCGTCTCAATGACTTTAGGTAATTCTATAACTGTCTTCTCTGTAACTGCAGATGTCAATTCATCCATTGCGTACAGATTAGCATATGTACCCAATACCATCGTTAACACTCCAACAAATAACATAATCTGTAAGCACCATGACAATTATATAGGTAGGTAATTAAGACCGACTGCACCTGTGCAAGTATACGCTCGTTTGTATTCTTGGTTGAAACACAAATGAAACATGTAGCTGGAAACAGGACACAAATCATAACTCCAATGGTTGAACCTAAAAGTCCTAATACAAGTTCGATGTTAGGAATCAGGATTCCAACTGTAAGTGAGATCGCGATGATCATGCATGTAAGTGCTTTAAAACGACTTTCGGGAATGTATTTGTCAATACCATCATGTAAACTACTGTAGGAGTACTAAAAACGAGACGCTTTGTTAGTCATTTAAAGAGGCCCCCCAGTCGAGGAGTAATTCACGATTGCCAACGCACAGTGTATAGTTATTACTCTAAAAGTTTGTAGTCTCTTAAAATCTGTGTGAAATTTTGTGCAATTTGAGTGAACTTCAAGCAAACCCCTGTATTTAATAATAAACCAAGAATCCAAACGTTTCCTTAGAGAATTATGTTCCAAACAAAAACAATTTACTTACGCTCTATACTAAAAGCTTCTGAAAACCACATACAAGCTCTGGAAATCCCATAAGGGCTTTGTATATCTCGAAAACGAGACCTGAGAAGATTTTGAAAATTTGATATTATACTCAGGGCCGGACTGCTTTATTATTACATTCCCCATACCTATCTGTTATGCTTTCCGTTTTATTTAAAATTTCCTAAAATTGTGACTATTGTTCATCGATAGGACTAAACGCCATGCAAACGCATAGTATAAATCATGAAAAAAAGTAACATTCCATATGGGTTTTTGACAAAAAAGTCCAGTAATTTAATCACCACGCAAAAAAAATGAATAATTAAATTAATCTATTCAAAAATTTATTATTTTTCGAAATATTGGAGATTTTATATTTTTTCTATTGTAAAAATTTGTGTTAGTTGATTTTAGTGCTTTGATTGTTTTTTTTTCAACGCATTTCGAGGCATGGCCCACTAACAAACATTCTAATATTTAATACCATGTTTTTTTACATGTTAAACTACCAAGATTTTAAACACTGAAAATTTTTGGAATGGACTATAAAAAGTACCCTTATTTTTCATGTTAATAAAACCCAGTTATACGGGATTTAGTTTTTACAATTTTTCAATTCAATCATGATTGGGATTGCACCCCTCATTTTGACATACAAAACATATGATCCATGAAGTAAATATAGTATATGTATAGGATTTACATAAAGGGTTCCATGTTAAAATTAGCAAGTTGGCATCCACTTCCGGTATAGTGCCACCAGCTTGCAAATATTTTAGATGAATTCCTCTTATTGACAAATTTCAAAATATTGCGAGGTCTCATTTTGGATACAGTCATTTGTCATAGGACACCCTGTAGAAAAGCGCTAACTTTTCTCAGTTCTTATAAGAAAATTACGAAGCAGAAGGTCTGGAAAATGGTGACAAAGACATTAAGAACTTTAGAATAGGCTTGGAAAGCTCTGAACCAAAAAAAGCTATAACCATAATTTACAGGCAGTGATAGAAAAGTGCTAATTAAAATATGTTAAAGTGTAACTCCAGTCTGTTGTTGAAGTACCGTGAATTACCCCTCGCTTCTACTTACATGTCTGCATAATAATGAATTCAAACTGGCTCTGCACGGAAAAATAATCAAAGGAAAGCTAAACGCCAATGACAACACGAAACCAATTTTAATTAATTCTGAAATGAGGGATGGAGAAAAGCTCATCAGAATATTTCCTGTAAATGTTTGCGTGGCAAAGGCAATGTATCCAAAAACTCCGACGAAAATGTACACTCCCGTACAAATATTAACTGCCGCTCTGATTAAGTTGTTCATTTTTTCCAATGATGCTGTAGGTAAAGCCTGATAAATTTCGAATATTTGCCTGAAATCGACAAGGGAAATGCAAGGGTTAAATGGTGGGGTGCTACACTTACGTTTGACACGAAAGTGCCATTGAGAAGATTGGTAAGCATTGTAAAATACCAGACGGTCTCCACAACTCGACTCTATTAATCCAATCCCCTGATAGAATGTGAGGAACTGCTTCCGCAATTATCTTAAAATGACATGTTAGCGATATAAATACATCAAATTAAACTACCTTTAAAACAAAACAAAAGTAGAAGCCAACGGTAATAGTACAGACACTACTCAAACTGTCAATATTCCGTAATAATCCTAATGGTAGTACACAGAAAGTGGCGAGGGCGAACAATATGCAAGTCCGCATCAAGTCTGTAGCCTTCGTATCTGCCAATTTGGCAATAATCGCAGGACCCAAGTCTCCCATTACCACAAAGTAGGCGATCGAAGTGCCCAACAAAAAACCAATTAGACCAATCTCTATCGTGAATTTCCCCAAAGAACCAAAGGTGTGAAAAGCTAAAAACTCAAATGTCCTCCTACGTGCTATAACGGCGGACTTCAGCATCAAGTGGCAGCATAGTCTGGCAATTGCATTACTCAGGACCAACATACAGACGGACAGCAGTATGCCACACTACAAAAGAGGCCAAAAGATGAATGCAAAGACAATTTGCAAGAGCTGACTTACTTGCTTGAAACAGTAGGGCATTGCAAGTAAGCTGACTCCGATAATGCTGTTTGTTATTGTCATAACATGAACTGCTTGTGAATCCATTTTGCTCAGCTCAGGTTTTCATGCAAATTACCTTTTTACTTTCATTATGAGCGGAGTGAACATATACGTGTATTTTTAAAGATTTTGTGAGGTTAGGAAAATATAACACTTCAAAAACGCATGTTGTCAATTTTAGATACAGCGTTGCCAATATGAATTAAATCCATTGTCTGTATTGATTTTTGGTGTAGTACCCTCTACATATTTTTAATTGTAATTACAGAAAGTTTAAAATGCATATATATTTAAGCTAGGATATTTTAATATTACATGAAAGTGATAAAGGTCATACAATGGTGTTATACAGTTGTCTAAACTAAACGCCTTCTAATTTAAAGGCTCTGGAAACTCCAGAGAACTTGAACCCCTAAAGTACTTTACATAGTATATTATAAATGAGAGCACTAGAAGCGTTTACACGAAGCCAGTAATAGACCAATAGCTAGCCAGTTTATTGCAACCAATCATCCCGGAACCATGGATGCATCAGTGTCCGTGGGGACATAAATATAAATAAAGTGTTTCAACAATTATGTCGCGATTTATCACTGAATCTTGTGATGTGGTCCAGGAAGAGAGGAAGCGGGCGTCAATGAATTGTGAAATAGAATGAAAAAGGTAAAAGAAACAGAGAAAGGTGTCTGAAAAGTCCGAGAAGAATGAAAAAAAGAACAAATAGAGTATCCTGTTATTCACAGAGGGGGCAGACTACTTTTATAATGTTTTAAATGCTTTTGGAGTATTTCTGAAAGTAGTTATGCGTGCACTATCCACTATTAAATAGGCGTTACAGTTCTTAGTCTTTTATTCTCTTACATTCGTCGTTATTTGTTGCATCAAATACATCCATATCATTTTAGTAATTGGAAATGATATTTGATGGTCTTTAGTGGTAGAATTTTGACAAAACGGTTGTGTTTTCTTTAATTTTTTGGAAATGAAGGAAGCCGTACGGTTTCAAAAATATTTATTTTTGTACGGCGGCGTAATTACCATCTACAGTCAAGTGTTTCACCAGATATTTCATTCCAATGTCGTTTGTTTGCGCTTCAAAAAACGGTACTAGCGCTTTTCAAATCATCATCTTAGGCACATTTGGGGCCCATGAGGTATTTTTTGGATGTTTGAAACAGCTTGGCTAAATGTATTAGTGTACGAGGTAGTTACGTACAGAAAAAAATTGTTCTTAAGCTTTGTGCGGTTTCCTTCATAGCATAGAAACGACCACGGTGTAACATAGCAAAAACCAACTGATCAACACATGTTACCTTTGGGTGGTATTGGTATTCATCAAGCCAGCTGCAAATTTCTAGCAAAAGGCCCGCGGTAAATATTAGCCATTCTTTTCCTGATTAGTTTACACGTGGACAATTACATTTCGGGTACCGGTGTCTAAATTTCTTTAAAAATTGGCAGTACTGCAGTACTTGTTAGTGACCGAAATGCGGAAAAGAGAGATGGAAATACGTTACTCCCGTTTGTGTAAAATAGATCAAAGCATTTACAAAGTTAATTTTAGCTCATCGCATTTTGTATACAATGTTAGAATCTTGCATAATTTAGTTTCGAGAAAAGAAAGTTAGTTCCACAATTATTGATTCTGTTCGATTTAATTATTTTTCATTACCGCCTCGTTTTATTTATTTTTCTTCTTCGACTTAGAAAGTGAATAGAAAACCATTACGCTGCACAATGCATCCGTAAATACTTGTTCCACATTTGTATGCCAACCTTACTTAAAGACGTCGTCTCGTACAGTTAAGTAAAGGCCGTCGCCGGCGTCGCGGTGGTGTTCACGTTTTCGATTTCATTTGTGCTAAACAGTGATTTTCCTCAAATTGGGCATGTGATCCAAAATGGGTAGCGTCACGAAGGCCACATTAGGAGGAAGCATACACCGAATACGAGAGTTCGAACTTGAGAAGGTTAGTAAGTATGTAATTTTAGTTTTAAACTTACGGTTCCCGAGTTGAAAATAAATAAATTTTTACGATTTGGCATGATATGAAAATTTGTGTATATAGGTAAGGTATTCCCCATGAAGTTTTGGTTTATCGAGTATTTGAAGACTACCCCTTCCTTTATATCTAGCATCTTTTCAGTTGATTCTTTTCAACATAGAGTATTTAGTGGATTGTTAACTTTTGCACCAAAAGAAATCCAGAGAGAACACAGCTCAGATCGCGGTACCTACTTCATCAGTGGATATGCGTGTGGTGTGATATAGTCAGTAGTGGTTGCTACAAACTTTGGTTGCAATAGTGTACTGTTTTGTTAGTAACAAAACCTCCCATACTAATAACTAAAAAAAAGCATGTTTGTCGACAACTGTCGGCACTTTGTCGTACAGAAGAAGTAAAACTTCGCAGCAATGGTTGCAATTTCCAGTAAACAGTGTCTTCAGTTACCCGAAAAATGAATTTTTACGTTAGGGGATGAACGAACGTGTGCAATTTTTGTTCCAAAGCGAAACTTAAAGGTTGTAGTTTAGAAATTTTCGGTGGAGTCCCTTCAATTGTATTTATCCTAAAAAGGGCGATTATAAACAAAATTTCATCGACACCACTATAAAAGGGGTCTTTCAAAATTGACACAGTGGTATTTTTGAGGAAGATATATGACTGAGAGTTAATTCATTGTAATATCATCCACCTATCCTGCATGAGAAAATGGAAATTTTCTATCCGATTGGAATTACGCCAAATTGTTTCAATTTAAAAGTAATTACAAAGCGATCACTAAATTACACTTGATACGAACCGTAACTCCTAAACCAATCGTTTTCGCGAAATAATTCTTTAAACGTGATTGATTGCAACGCGCAATTCTCAGCCAAAGGAAGTATTCGAAAATAGGAACAATCTTGGCTCGCCCAACAATTTTCAGGGTTACGTTTGTGTTTTGTAATTTTATAATTCTCATTGTCGCTTTAATTGTAATTGGGAAGGCCAAAAACTTAATAAATTTTTGTCGCGCGTCCAAAATAGTTTTTCATTTTGTCTTTTATTTTTACAGGTGAACTTGGCCGACGAGTTTGATATACTTCAAATTGTGGGCGAAGGTTGGTTTGGTAAAATTTTGCTTGTCGAGCACAAGGCAACGGACACCGAGATGGTTCTTAAAGCCCTACCGAAGCCCTACACGGCGTTACGGGATTTTTATCGTGAATTTCATTACGGCCTTCATTTGAGCACGCACAAGAATGTCATCTCCACTTACGACGTTGCCTTTGAAACGCCCGGTTTCTACGTTTTTTCCCAAGAATACGCACCTCTAGGTAAGGACCATTCCCCCACCAGAACAAAACAATAATTAAGTCGATTGGGTGATTCTAACCCACCATGAACCACCCCTACATTCGAAAAACAAGACACGAAATCCTGCTTTGTGAAAGACTAGTTTAAGATCTTGATTCTTAAGTTCAACATTTCAAACAAACAAAAAACTTATACGCTTAAAAAGGTAAAAAAAGCCCTCTAGGTATACCAGTCAAACCTACCCCATGAGCATCGAAAACAAAGGTTTCCAGAACTTAAATTATTTAAAACATCCCTCTAGGTGACCTCACATCAAACGTTTCCGAAACCGGAATTGGAGAGCTTCATTCAAAAAGGGTGGCCAAACAGCTGGCAGCAGCGCTCGAGCACCTCCACAACCGAGACTTAGTTCATCGAGATGTGAAATTAGACAACATTTTGGTGTTCAAATCGGACTTCTCTCGCATTAAGCTTTGCGATTTTGGTGAAACGCGAAGAACCGGCGCCGTGGTGTTGAGACGAAATGAATGGTTGCCATACGCGCCGCCGGAAGTCCTCGAAATACCCAACGACAAAAATTACAAGTAAGGGTAATTAACGCACAGATTGCGGGTGAAATGGAGAGTTACGCTTTTAATTTTAGGGCCGATACGTCGCATGATGTGTGGCAGTTTGGAATCGTCATCTTCGTGTGCCTCACCGGCTGCTTGCCGTGGCAGAAGGCCGCGGCAGACGACCCCAGATATGTACGCTACCTCTCGTGGCATTCAAGCGCGATGCCCATAAAAAGACAGCCGAAATTGTTTAAACTGATTTCATCAAAGGCTCAAAGACTGTTCAAGAAGTTCTTGGAACCACGCGTGGATAGAAGACCTGCAGGATTAGCCGAAGTGTATCGATTCCTGGAGGATAGGTGGATGTCGAAAGGTGGGGCCGACAAAAACAACGCATCTACAGCTCAAGACGACGGCCTGTGTCCATCAATGTATAGCTTTCACAGTAGTCCAGAGGAGAAAAACAAACTACTGTTCACTCTGACACAGTACGGCATTGAAACAACAGTTGACAGAAGCGCGAAGAAAGACAGAATACGGCAGTGGATTCAGGCGAGCGTAATCGAAGAAGAGGTGGACGAGCAGGAGACAAACGGAGGTGGTGAAGTGATCAAGGTAACTGCGGCAGCTCCGATTGGTGAAGGTCCAAGCGGCAGAACTGCCGTTTTTGAAAGTAAAACCAAAAGAAGAGAAAGGCGACCACTTCCAACCAAGAACAAAGACGAAGTTTATACTCCTCCCGTTGATCCCCGAATTCCTTTAGACCAACAAAGAATTAAAAAAGAAAACTTAGCTAATGGTATCATACCCATTTTAAAAACGGCAGTGAACGGATCCGTAACGGACGAAGTTAATGGCAATAGCAAAGCAAAAAACGTGCAATTTGACATTGGGCCCTTTCAGAATCTTAACTTGATAAATACAGGAGAAACCAGAAATGTTGTAAATTACGGCATCAGCGTGCAGATTCCGCAATCTTCTACAATGTTCGCTTCTAATGAAGATACCCCAAAACCCCCCGCACGGAAGGGCTCGAGTAAGAATGGAAAGTTAAAATCTCCCACATTTCAGAGGAAGAAAAGCACTTAGCGGTTACTAGTGTGTGAAACGGAGATTTGACACACATAGCCCTCAGATCAAGATCGCCTTTCTACCCTCGAACCGAAGACGACTGCATTTATGTATGGTAGAAGAACGTGCGAGGTTAGAGAAAAATCCTTAAGTGTAAACTGTGATATGGGTGGAGCCATTTCCGGTGAATGTGAGATGTGTATTATTAAGAAGAGTACACACCTGGATAGTGGTTTCCTGCACCCTCGTACCACATCAAATATTTTTAGACTGACTGGAGCGACCTAGTTTTCCAAAAAAAGATGTATTATAATTAGCTATATAATGCTGTAAAATAAATGAGCTGGCTAAAATCATCTGGATTCACTGCAAAAATTGTGTGTAGATTGCGTTTTTCCCAAAATCTTGGAATGCGATTTTTTAGCAGTGTACCTACCTACTCGAATATAAGTGAGATAAATTATAGCAATTTTTTCGTGCATACATGGCGCATACAGCGCATCAAATACTTTGATTAATTAAGATAAATGGGTCCACCAGCAACCCTATACAAGTAATCATAGAAATTCTACCTCCTCTCTAGTAGAAACAAATTTTTTTCCGGGTCGATCTGAGACAATTTTTTTCGGGGCTCAAAAAAAGGCAGTGTATAACCTTCCTTTTTTACCAAAAATCGACTACACCAGAATTTCTCGGGAAAACACTTTTTCTTATTAATTTGAGTGCGTAGAATCCAAATCAATTCGTACTTTTTCGATCAGACTTCTCAATCAAAAGTTATAGACTAGAAACTACCCCCTTTGCAAATTACATTTTTTATTAAAATTTTCTCTTATTTGGCAGCAGGGGTGGATGTAAGATTACGTTTTGGGGAAGGAAGGGGGTCATCCTTGAAAGTAGTGTAGGGGGGTCCGGGTTCTCCTCCGTAAATTTGTTAACTTTTTTTAGCTTCGAAAACGTATTTTGGGACTCTATGTCAATAAATGACTTTGAAGAGTACTTTGTACTGTACTATTTCAATATCACGACACTAAATCGGTCAAGCAGAAACTCTATATAAGTATTTAAAAAATTCTACCCCTATTCGTTCGGAAATTACGACTTTTTCTAATAAAAAGCTCCTTTTACGTAAGAACACTGCAAGGGGTGGCTGGATTATTCCAAAGTATTTTACGTACGTCACGTCGTTTCATCGTTAGTTTTAGATTGTTTAGGTTTGGTCGAGTTCTATGCTCTAATTTCTTTATACCCATTATAGTAGAAATAACAACATATGCAAACCTTACACCTTTTTCTTGAATAATTTTTTTCTACATTGTCCACATTCGCAATAAAGGTGAGAAGAGTGCAGGGAAGAGAATCCGAAAGGAACTTGAAAAAAATATGGAAAGTAAAGGAATTTTAAATGATTAGGTACACTAAAAGAGGATTAATGAATTTTAGAGAACCTTAAGGAGAAGTTTGTGAAGTGCATGAGTAGCAAATGCGAGACAACAAAAATTTGTTGGGATCTTATAAACGATGCTAGGAGGAGATCGAAGGGAATTTGTGGAGAACCTTAGAATAACTTATGAAGTAGGTATTTTATAAAGAAGCGCAAGAGGAATTTAAAATATACTTACGAAGTTTAACGGGAATGTGAAGAGAATTTGGGGAAAACTTGCAAAAATCTTTAGAGGAACTTGAGTTCAGAATGACTTCAGGAACTGAGAAGAAATTTATGGGACCTGGAGGGGTACTTTGAGCAGCTTAAGATGCATTTGCTTAAGATGTGAGATTAAAGATAAAAGTGAACTTGGAACAAACTTGAGGAGTAGATTGTAGGTACTTAAAAGGAACTTTGGCGAAGTGACGGTGCATAACAATAATAATAGGTACCTACACTCGAGATATTCAGATGGGTGTTAAAAAAGCCTCTAACTGTGCCTTTCAAGTTGCAAAAATCTTTTGCTTTAAAATAAATCTACTATTTTGAATCACTAAGAAGTTCAACAATGCTCCCATTTCCCTTGGGAAGAATTATGTAATAACATTGATTACTCTTATTCATCTCTCACCTCTGTATACGAATTGTCCTTCAATTTTTCTAACGTGTAGGAAAAACAATCTGTATAACTTTCGGATCTTTTCTTTTTAGATTCATTATTTATACACGTCAAGTGCTCATTATTTCTAAACATTGAAATTGTCAATTCTAATTGTTAATTATTTATAATTATTACAATAAACATGGGCAAACTCAACGTTTCCCTTCTGCGATACTTAAGTCCAGAGGATTTTCGCGTTTTAACTGCTGTACGTAAACATAACCTTGTTGTTTTCACCCATGCACTGCATGTAATTTCTAGATCGAAATGGGTATGAAAAACCACGAATTGGTACCTGCTGCCCTCGCTGCAAGTATCGCCAATCTGCAGCATGGAGGAGTACACAAACTGCTAAGAGATTTGTGTAAACATCGTCTGCTTAGTTACGAACGAGGCAAAAAGTGTACTGTTCACAATTCAGTACAATTCCCGTATTAATCAGGCTTTTTGTAGTTGACGGTTATAGATTAACGAATATGGGATATGACTACTTGGCGTTAAAGACACTGACGAAACGTGGCGCTCTCAACTCATTTGGAAATCAGATTGGTGTTGGTAAAGAGAGTAACATATACATTGTCGCCAATTCGGATCACCAGGAATTGTGCTTGAAATTACATCGACTTGGCCGAACTTGCTTCAGAAACATAAAGGATAAGCGCGACTACCATAAGCACAGAAAGTCAGCGTCGTGGTTGTATCTCTCGCGGATTTCTGCCACAAAAGAGTTTGCATACATGAAAGCCTTACATGATAGAGGGTTCCCTGTTCCAAAACCGATAGATTACAATAGGCACTGTGTGGTTATGGAACTTATCGTCGGAAAACCACTGTAAGTCACATTTGTTTTATAATTGCGCCGCTTATCTTTTACTTTCAGCACTAATGTGTTGGAAGTCGAAAATGTAGAGGGTCTCTATGATGAGCTAATGAATCTTATTGTCCGTTTTGCTGATTCTGGGGTGATTCACGGAGATTTTAATGAGTTTAATATCATGCTAAGCGAAAATGAGAAACCAGTGATAATTGATTTTCCTCAGATGATTTCCACTTTGCATCCAAATGCGGAAATGTACTTCAATCGAGATGTGAACTGCATCAAAGAATTTTTCAAGAAACGTTTCAGCTACGAGAGTGAATTATTTCCAAAATTCAGTGAGACTGAGAGGTGCGACAATTTAGACGCTGAAGTTGCATGTTCTGGTTTTACCAAGCAAATGGCAAAGGATATGAATATAGAGCTCGGTTTGGAGGAGGAAGAGGAACTACAGCAAAACGAGGACTTGGAGAGTGACGAATGTTTCGAAGAGAATGCTTCTGAAGCGCTGGCCACACGCCTGGAACTACACGACTTTAATCAGACTGTGGATTCAGACACCGGTTCTTGTTCAGGTGATTCGTGCTACAGTGACGAAATCGGTAGCATAAGATCGACAGCTACAACAATAGCGCCGGAAGAAATTAAGAATAGGGTCAGAAGACAAATGCAGCAGAAGGAGAAGAAGATACAGAGGAAAAAATGCGTCGCGAAGGGAGAAGCAAGTGCAGTGACAAGAGTTAGGCGGGAAAATAATGATAATATTAAGGAAAGTAGGGATATTTGGGGATAAATATTGTAATTATTTGGGAAAATATAATTATTACTGTTTTGTACGTCTGTGTTTTCTCACTACTTCATTTTGTCAGCATTCTTTTGATTGATTACCATGGGATCAGCATCCTGGCAATTTGAAAGACTTAAACTTGATTGGAGAGATAAGTTTAAGGCATAAAGTAATAGCTTAATGAATAAGAATGGACTTGATTTCAAGTTAAAGCTGAAAATATTGAGTCAAAAGTGAACTTTTTTTAGACTTCTGAAAAGATCATCCTTAGTATCTGGATAAGTCATTAAAGTAGCTCCACGAAAAATCAATGTAAAATTCCTCGTCAAATATTCTAAAATAAGTAATATAATCTCATACAAATTTGAAGGTTCTGTTCATTGCTGCTTATTTTAAGATAACGGGCATATGCATAATTACGCAATTATTATTCAAATTTTGAAGCCATTAACCCTATGTACGGCATTTCATTAACTAACAAAGGGAATGTGGTAACCCCCGACAAGATCTTACTCAGAGCTGGGCAGTATTCGATTTTGTAAATACTTTTTAGTATTCAATCCTTTAAAGTATTCAAATACTTTGTAATTAAATACTTTTATGGAAGCAGTATTTGTATTTGTAACTCAAATACTTTCACAAATATTTAGTATTCGAATACTTCGCAAGGTATTTGAATACTTTGAGAAGTATTCGAATACTTCGCATAGTATTTAAATACTTAACTTCCCAATCAAAAGTTATAGACTAGAAACCATTTCGAAAGAAAATTCAAAGGGCTGTAACTTTTGAACTAGTAGCCCAATCTTGGAACTGTTTGAAATTATGGATTCTACAGGCCACATTCTATAAGAAAATTTTTTTCCGGGTCAATCTGAGACAATTTTTTTTTCGAGGGCCTCAAAAAAAGGCAGTGTATAACCTTCCTTTTTTACCAAAAATCGACTGCACCAAAATTTCTCGGGAAAACACTTTTTCTTATTAATTTTGGTGCGTAGAATCCAAAACAATTCGTACTTTTTCGATCAGACTTCTCAATCAAAAGTTATAGACTAGAAACCAATTTCGAAAGAAAATTCAAAGGGCTGTAACTTTTGAACTAGTAGCCCAATCTTGGAACTGTTTGAAATTATGGATTCTACAGGCCACATTCTATGAGAAAATTTTTTTTCCGGGTCGATCTGTATTCAAATAACTTTGATTTGTGTAAAGTATTTACTATTTAGTATTCAAATTCTTTTTGAAAGTTAACTGCCCAGCTCTGATCTTACTGATGGTGAAGTCAAAACTTCAAACCCGATTTGCGGGTGAACGGGTTGGAGGTGGATACCAACAAAGGGAATATGGTAACTCCCGCCGAGAACTTACTGATGGTGGAGTCAAAACTTCAAACGCTAATTGCGAGTGCACGGACCGTCGAAAGTGGGTACCAAAAGGGAATGTGCCTATGATCTGCCACAGAAAAATGTGCTGAAGTTCCTTCGATCTCACACGAGGACTTTGATAATTTTTTTTACTTTACTCCACTAGCAATTTAACTGGCTGAACCAAAACTATAACATACCGATGGTGGGTTTATAAGAAGAATTTTGATTGCTTCTTGCTTTGACACCTAGGTAATACCAAAGAGTATATCTTTGGTAATACCCTGCTTCAGACAAATCCATATGTACCTATAGCGCAATGATAGGGCAATGTCTTTTGGTTTTAAGTATTTTTAGCTGTAAAACGTGTGGAATTGGTACTCCAAACGAGATACTACATAATTTGAACGAAGATATACAATTATCAGAAATTCATGTCAGGTAAGTTTGTTTAATCAATTAACTATACTTGTTGCTTTAGAGAACGCAATGAGCTTCCAAAGATCGTTCTAAAAGTGAGTTACAGTAGTTTTTTGGGCAGAGATTATTTTAAGCTACTATATGTGATAATGTCGTCCACGACCTTGCGCCACCTTTTATTTATTACTCTAATATTTATAATTTATGTTTGCAAAGAAATTTGCGCAATTGGATACCTACATTATGTGAAACTTTAGAAAAATTATTATTTCAAATATTTATTTAGACAACGTTTAATAATTATTTCTATACACGCATGTGCTGTATTGGCACAAGCAATCTAGATTCGATTAAAGGATGATAAAGGTAACCTTGTCGGACATCGGAGATGATACGCGGATTCTTTTACGTGAAGGAATCGGTATTTATTGTACTCTACTGTACTTTTTTTTAGTTCAAAAAAGGTCATCTTTCGACAGACCTTTTGGTTTAGAAGAATTTTATTTGCGAAATTGGATGAAGTCGACGCTATATACATACTTTAACAAGAAGGCTACTAAATTACATGTTTTGGAGGCTATGATAACCCTTATGTTCTTCACGAAACTTCTACTTTTCGTGAAACCCTCGTAAAAAATTTTTCTTGGCGCATCCCTAACTCCCCTAAATGGTGTCTGTCTGCGTCTCTTGAACTATCTATTGACTTCGACCTTTCGCTGTCCCCTAGTTGTACCGTTACAACATTCAAATTTGGTAAATTTTTTAATCTTGTCGCGTTTATGTTTGATGATGATAAATGATAATAATGATGATGATAAATCTAAGTTTATTTATTTTTTTGTTCATAAATAAATCTGAGCTATAACGTCCCTTCTTACAGTATAAAATGTTGTAATTTGTGTACCTTTTACAATACTGGTAAATAAGATACCATATTATATCCTATAAAAGGTATTGTATATAACAGTCATGCAAAACAGTAGTGATACTACCTGCAGATTGTTACTAAAAATGAAAAACGTTATTCTTCTATCTTGCCTGATTGCGTTCATCGCAATTCAAGGTAGGTAATTTTATGTTATAAAAATTTCCGATGTATGTTCTGACTTCTGATGCTATTTTTTACGTGTACAGGTGATGGTGCATCAACGAAAAACCGCGGCATGACCGATGCAGCAATTAAAGATTTATTTGACATAGTTGATCAGAATAAGGATGGTAAAATAAGTATTGCCGAGGCTATTGCTAGAGGATTTAAAGAGGACAGGGTAAAAACGCTTTTCGCTAAGTACGATGCTGATAACGATGGCCAACTGAATTTGCAAGGTAAATTCTACTAGAATTTTGATCTACGAGTATATACCAAAGAGGAAATTTATGTAAATATTTTTCGCATAAATTTTAGTAACTATAGCGATTGAGATCAATTTTTTCTCGTTTCAGAGGCCATAGCACTGGTTAGAGGGGAGAATCTCAGCCTATAAATGCTTATCAGAATTTTAGCTGCTGGTGAACTACCAAATTGAAATTAAATTCTTGCGTAATTAATTTGTGAATAAATAGAATTTTATTATAGAACCTTTCATCTTCTGTAGTGAATATTGATAGTTAAATAAAAGTCAAGTTTATGCAACTGAAAAGGCTCTTTACCTATTATATCTTCGCCCATCTTTACATGGTATACTTTACTCCTCTTTTAGGTAGTAGACAACGTGATTTGAATAGAAGATTTTCCTGTAAAACGAGTTCCCTTGGGCAAGGTTCTGACAAATAATGCTATACCTAAACTACGTCAAATTTAAATGACATGGTTTACACTTCAATTTAAAAAACCACAATCGCTTAACATGAAAACGCCCCATAAGATTAAATTTTGTGTTCCTGTATAGTCATTTAAGCGAAAATTCTTTCAAATTGCTTTAAATGAGCGGCCTCTTAACCAAGGCTGCTGTACCATCCCAACCCACTAAACTCTTACAAAAATCAATTCCCTAATCTGGATTCAAATCAGTATCAGGAATCAGGTACCCTCAGTGCCGGATTGACGTACCTACCCATTTCACTAACTCGCCTTTGTAATTTTAATCTATACTTATCCGATTAGCCTTTCAAATTTCATATAGTACTAATGAAAGTCTGGTACGGAACGAAATGATCTCACTAATTATAGTAGAAAGCTCGATAATGTCTTATTTCACACACGAAACGTCCCATTTTGCGCGAATTCTTGTCTTTGGGAAATTTTTTAATTGAAATGCTAAAAGAATTATTTTTATAACTGACTTTTGCAATGCAACAACGGCATATTTGTTGCAACTACAAGCCTAGCATTGGCAACTTTCAAGGATAAGTGGATAAAATCCAGTACCTACCCCTTTCTTTGATTTCAAAATTTCCTTCACGTAAAAAAATGCATAAAATGGGAGTAGGTATACATTTCAAATTATCGCGCCTCTGTCTTTCCCAAAAAGTTTTTTTATTTACGGCTATACATATATAAAAAAGGACAGGCACGATAATTTTGAATAATAACATCCCAAATAATAATGGATCCACCAATACAATATTCATTTCAGTTTTTTTTATACGCATATTTTGTAACCATATTTAACGCGTGTAGGTCCATGCTATCTTCTTTGGGGTTTCGAAACTGTTGACAGGCTGTGTACACTAATTTTTGTTTTTTATTATATGCAAATACGTTTTTACATACGAACAAATTTGGAAATACATTTTCTCTGATCAATGAATGGAAACTGCGCTAAAGTTACTCGCCTTAGGGCGAAAACGTTTTTACTTGATTTATCTGGTGTGAGCTAGGAAGACGTTCAGTCAAGAATTTGGCACCTGGTTTTAGCCTAAAGATTAGTAACAAACGAACGAAGGGCAGTAAATATTTTTGGTCTGGCATACAACTTTGTATATAAACATTTATGACAGAAAAATATTTCATATGATCTTGCGGTTCATATAAATAGAAAATTTACATTTCGGCACGCAATTACGTATTTCGTTTAGTGCGAGAATTATCGACGAATAAACGCACCTTACGTGAGAAATAGGAATGGCATATATGTAAACGTCTTATCTGTCAGGTAGTTTATTAGGTTCTGTATATAGAGTGTTGTACCGGGTGCAAACTGCAACCCTTAAATCTCCAGGCACTAAAGCAGATGAGGAAAGCGAAAGATGTCATTTCCATGGCAACACCCCGCCACATGCTCCTGCAGATGTCTAGAAATAAAATCCAAAAGATGAACTTCGCCATTATCTTATACAATCATATGCCCAAGTATAGAATGGATTGGAAAAATTAAAACGTTTATCACTTTGGTTATGGTCCATCGCAAATTTGTAAATATTTTATTCATGAGCCCCTAACAATGTCTGTTTTAGACGTAAGGAGAAATAATGGGAAAGTTTTGGAAAATGTAACTCGTAAAGCGTAACATATGACGTCGTCAGTAAAAGATCACCCTTGCCGTTTTCTAAAATGACACAATTTTTATCAGGCGCGCAACGAAATGTGAAACCATTTTTTAGAAGTGTACGTTACCGTTGGGGAAACTAAAGATAACTTTTAACTCAGGTATCAATGATCATAATTTTGCTGGCGAAAATATAATTTCAACCACGTCCCCGCATCTTAGTATAGGTGAGGGGTGAAATGGCATTAGACAAGGCAGCAATAAATCACGAATTTCCTCTGTCTAGGAACACCGAGAAACTAAGTTTAGCACGCATTGTCTACAAGACTCTTTTCACGGAAAATAAAACTTGTAAAAGAAAGAAAGCATTGTGCTTTAGAAGTTTTATTGCATGGTTCGTCGAATGAATTGGCGCTGCGTGGAAAAATCCAAAGACGAAATGAAGCGTCCTGGATTTGCCGAAGCCTTGGATGAACTTAAATCTGAACAGAAGCTTATTACAACTCGAATGTTTTCCATTAGTTGTGATTGGTTTATTATTGAAGCAATTTGTTTTATTAGTTTTTCGCTTTGTCATAAAAAAGTATCGAAACTTAATTTCAGTTCGTAATAGTTTTCAAAATTGACTTTAGTTTGGAACCGAAAACTTTCTATATTGGACTACCTACTTATAATTATCTGCGTGATGGCATTGCTAGTTTCGTTCAAGCATATTTTATTCATTATGTTCCTTTTTCCTTCACATCACATAACGTGTCTTGAGATTTATGACGCTATAAGGCCCTAGTGCAAGTTGTTGTGCGTAAAATTTCTGGATTTATGGTCTAAAGATTCGCTCTCTACTGGAGTAAAATAGATTAAGTACCCACTCGTGTAAAAGATGCATATTTGCTACCCGTCGGAATGGGACCCATATACAGACACGTATTTCGTAAAATCCTGCATTTCAAATTAGAACGTTCTTCCACATGATTTTAATTATTTAATTCATTTCCTAATCCCATAGTTTTGTATCGCTTACCAAGTGAGTTGAGCTTGGCTCAAATCAAATCAAATCGACAAGCTTCAGTTACCAAAGCGGCAATGAAAAATAATTGAATATTTAGATACAGAGTAAACGTTTGAAAGCATTAAACTTTGTACGAACATTTAGGTGGGTATAGAGTAAAATAAATTCCTATATTATAATTGTATAGACACATTGGTAAAAGTGTCCGTAGTAGGATTTCAGCCCTATAGAAAAAAATGCTCTATCAAATGACACAAAAAGTAAAAATGACTTCCATAAGAAAAAACCGTTGAAAAGTTGATGATGGTTAACAGAAGACGAAACGTCAGACTTGAAATTTAAAACTAAGATCTTTTATAGGGAAAAAAATGGCCATAATAATGTCATTTATCTTGACATATCTTTTTAAATAACTTCGGTAAAAAAATAGAAACGATTTTGCAAAATTTCGGATTTCCGAAAGTAGTCGGAATTTTTCAGTTTCAAAACGGCATTTTGTTAAGCATCAAAATAGGCAACTTTGCCAAAATTTAACTTTATTTATTTTTTTATTGTTCCGTATTTCACAAACAAAAAAAACAAAAGGGCATGACCTAGGGCATGACTACCTGCAATGTGTCCAGGAGTAAAATAGTGACGGGGATTTATAAAAGTTTATAGTTTTGGAAAAAGAAATTAAATTAAAAGTTTCAATTCAAACTTCAATCTCAACTTCAAGACATGAAACAAGATATCATGACACCACCCGTTTAAACTTAATAAATGGCAACTTCGTTTTTTTGGTTTTGTTAGTTCGAAATTAACTAACTTACTACAAGAAGAACGATTTCAAAGCCCTTAATTCGATTTCAGGGCTCGAACTTCTAACTGGAAACTAGAAGCTAAGTGGACCAACATCGAATAAATTACTAAAAACAACTCTAAAATTGTTTGTAAAAATATACAAAGTTCACCATTTAAATTTCGAAATTTAAGGTCACTTTCGGCCAAACCGGTAGTGATAGGAAATTACTACTCGAGCATTCAATTCGTTTTTACTTATGTCGGCCAAAATGTTATATTCATGTCGCCAATATCGCTAAAGAATTATAGGGATGAAGGTTAGTCGTATTTATGAATTTCGCCAAGTTTATTTATTTATTGCCCCTCTCTTGTTCTGTGCCCTCAACAAGCTTGTGCTCAATTACAGGCTGACCTGCATAATGCTTTTTAGAGGTTTATTGGATATACCTATACCACCGACCAAAAGAAATATTAAATCTATAGAATATAGAGGTAAAATTTTAAGTAAAGTACGAGTATCTAAGAGGTTTCAAATTTTGTATTTTCAATGTAATTTGCCAGTGAAAGAACGTATTGAATTTGGTACGTTGGCCATTTCAAGGCAAATTTTATTATTCAGATTGTGAAAATTATTTCAATGTAAAAGCGAGATGCATTCTTAAACAGCAGGTATACATTTTATTTATATGATCATTTAGTGTCGTTCTTTTGCTCGAAAGTGGAAAGTGTAGCCATTTTTCAGATTATGAAGGAAAAATCTCTTAAATACGCAAGAAAAGTTATACTTACAGAAGGTAAAGTTTTGGTAAAAAAAATAAAAAGGGTTTTCTTGTTGGAATTTCCAGTTTTATAAAAAAAATGAAAGTTTAAACCCTATTTGCAACAAGGACTGCTACATTAGCGTAAAGCCTGATACTGCACCTGGACTGTGGAGTAGTGTGGGATGTTACATAAGATGAAGCATCCTAATCTTCTATTTCTACTAGAGATTTCATCTTATAACGTTAGGAGGATGGATAGGTTCCATTTTTATGCTACATGGTTGATAATAAGTATGTATTGTATCAATTGCAAGTGTAGATGCAAAAAATACAGGGCAAATGTTCCCTTAAACTTGAGGACAAACATCTCTCGTTATCAAATTGGCCGGGGCAAATTAACTTGGAGCCATTGAATAAAAACACTATTTTATTCAATGCTTCTGGAGCGAACTTTGCAAAGGTGAATTTTCCCAGGGCGAATATTCTGTGACCGGTTATTACTGGCAAAAATTTACCAGATGTGTAACAAGTTTTATCGATTAGTAATTTGGAAAAGCTGT